TTATATTAAGCCTTAAAGTTCTGCATAATTAAGGGCGTGGCCACTTGAGTGACAGGTGGATTGCCGCTGCTGACACTGCCGTCGAGCTAGGTGGGCGTGGTTTCAGCAACCTGCTCCCGCCTCTTTGCCCATTTTCGATTATCCGAGAGTGACACGCGGTGACGCGCTGCCAAGATGACGATGGCCCGCATTGCTTACTTAGTACTTGCTTAGTATTTTATTTAGTGATGTGCCGATCATAGCTAATTCAAATTTTCCTTTTTCTTTTTTTTAACTATTCTGATTTTTAAGCAAATTTATTCATTGGCTATTTGCTTTATAACAAACAAACTGGCTTTAAACATATCTTGCCATTTGAAATTAGAGGCAACCACTGCATTTTAATCACGATCTGCATGGGCAGTTGTATTTGATTTGATTTAGATTAATTTCAGGATTTAAAAAGGAATGGTCTGACTTTAGGTGTTATTTATTTATTTGCTACATAAAACATCTGCACGAAACAAAAACAGCAGGTCTGAATGAGACGACCTCTCTGACAGCAGGTGGCGCTTATGAACAGGGTTGCCAGGTTTATGCAATAAAACTAGTCCGATCACGCTTGGAGGGGGTTCCCCTGTAAAAATCGCATTCTGGGGGTAAAATACATGTTTTTCGGCGGGGATCTTCCAGTGAAATTCACATTCCAGGGTAGGGATGGGCGATATGGGTTTTAAAATATATCACGATATTTCTGGTATTTATTACGATAACGATATCAATGACGATAATTCAGGGAATCTTGTTTCTTTTTAAAAAAGTATCATCTTTCCTATTTTTACCCAAAATAGGGTGAGCATTAATGAGTTCACACGTAATGTAAAGTTTTAATTCATACTGGAAGCCGGAGGGCGCTCTTGCACAGAAACTCCACATATCCATATCAGAAGAAATACTACTGACACGCTCCAGGAAGGTATCCAGTTATTGCTGAATAAAACGCACAACAGAGGTAGAGACATTTTAACTGATGAAACTTGAGGAAAATAAACATACGACTGCAAAAAATATATGGTTTATCGGTGTTCTTCAATCTTGGGTATTTTTATAAGGAAAGTATATTTATAATGTAATGGTAATCGACATGGCCTTTATCACTATATATAATACTATCATTCTGTAATATGAAACCACGTATGGTCACAAAAATGTATTTCAAACACTCAACTATGTTATTAAGTTAATTTGGAGAAAAAGTATGTCAATAAATATCTTTGTTGGATAACAGTTTTGTAAACAGGCTCATACACATGCAAAACTGTATCGCACACGTGCTACTGTAGTACATTTATTCAGAGCAATTTTTTTGTGCACTGTACAGCCCTAACCAATCCAGTTACAGCTCGAGCTCCTCATTTAGAGATATAGGCTACTCCTCCTCAATTTCACGTCTGCTTTCTGTGATGTTGCTCCACACTGTCGCACACAGAAATGTGTCAACAACTAGACTTTATCGTTATTATCGCAGGAAGACTAATTCTTATCGTGGGGAGAATTTTTACCGGTATATCGCAAACTATAAGATATCGCCCATCCCTACTGTATGTTGATCTGTCTATGCGTTATCTTTAGAGATCCGGCTAACACTTGGTATTAGTTCAAGTGTACTTGGATTGTAAGGGCTTATAGAGAATTGAGAACTGAATGTTGTTCGACCAACCTAAATAGGGTGAGCCTAACCTCTGTTTATTGTAATATTATTCTAGCTAAGTGTAAATGGGGAAACCATGGCATGACCATACCAAAGCTACTATCAGGGAAAGTAATGTTGGTCGGCTTATATCTATAGTAGTGGTCGTGACCTCTGACTAGAAATAATGTTGCTTTATTCAAGTGTGTTCAAATCTAAAGGGGCTAAACAAAAGTACTTTTAGAATGAGCAAGCATAGGAGCGGCCGTCTAAAATATTAGCCAATTACCTCTGTCTAATAACCAAGACTGATGAGAATGTGACCGTAAGATACGCTAACGGCCAAAGCGATATCTTTGAGCGACATGAGCACCCGAATGAATGAGTAAATATAAAGTAAAGAGTTAACTAGAATAATCGAATGTCTAGGGTTGGTTACCGAACTCTGTACTTTTAAGGGTACCGACCGAATTGCGTCGGTACTACCGAGTACCGATTCACGTTAAATCAGTCGGTGCCAGATTTCGGTACCTGAGAACACATCTGGCCGCATACGCTACAGAGAGAGAAAGAGAGACCCTGTGATGTGATATTACCCCTGCAACTCGTTCAAACAACACACCGGGCAAGCCGAAATGTTCTGAAGTGTGGTTACATTTCTAGGGCCATATGGTTTCTGCGAAAACGCGGACGGGATTGTGGAGTCCATTCATAAAAACGTAATTTACTTAAATGGCGCAAAATGCCACGGAAGTCGTCAATTTTAGACGAAGAAATCACTTAATTCGAATCGCGATATGAACTAGTGTCTGAATATTAAAATGCAAAAAGACAGTTCAAATATGAATCCTGCATGTTCCGCTTGCCTCAGTATGTATGAATGGCGGAAACGTGGTTTTGTTTACTAAACAAATACTGTAGCACGCGTGACACTCGCGGTGATTTTTGGCCTCTGCGTCTATGTAAGTAAAATAATGCCGTATGTCTTTGAAACAAAAAAGCATGTTGAATAGCACTAACTGAAAAAATAATGCATTGCATTAACAGTGCTTGCATTTTAATGTCTTGTATTTCCAGGACTTGCATTTTTAGGTCCTGAAATTTAGCATGGTTGTTCATTTAAGCTATGAACATTTCAATTCAAAATATTTCACACACGTTTTCATAGTAAAAAAATTCAATAATTCATATTCATCTTTCAGAATTCACTTCCAAAATATTCAATCTGTTTAAAAATAGCATGTATAATATTCGACAGGCAAATTTCGGTCCATTTTTATTTCACTTTCCAAATTCGCTTCCACAAATTCAGTGGTTAAAATTCGACAGATAATTCGGCATTGCACATCCGGGATCTGCAGGAATAGCAGTAGAGCACCGATGCGTGATCTCCACCGGCAGGTGGCGCAAGCGGCTGTTGATGAAGACCAAAGCAACAGGTGGATTAAGTTATTCATTCACAAAAACTGAACTACATAAATGGAGCAAGCGCTAAGTAGAAGTTTTGATTATCGGGGCCAGTATAAACATGTGGAAAAGCTGATTGTGTGTATGTTTAATTCAACATCTTCGCTGTTTCCTGTAGCCTACATGTAAGCAGCATTCTCTACCCCAAAGGAGATTATAATGCTGTTTTACCCAATGCTGAAGTACAGAACTAACATTACATCTGAGGAAGACATATATTGCTTTTCGTTGCTTAGTTTACGTAACTTTGTATCATGGCTTGTGTGACGCTGTGCTGTAATACTGGGGATCCCCTCACGTCACACTCCAGGATTCCCCAACTATACATTAAGGCGCCTCATTGAACTAACACGGTGATATAAGACCTCAGAATTGATGATTATGCGAACTGTATAGAGGCAAGCAAATGAGGTCAGAAGAACACAATGCGCTGCATTTTCTTTATAATTGCTTTCCCTTACCACTGATCTATAGAGTCGACAGTCCTACAAAGATATCGGTACCACGATTAGTTTTAACAATATGCAACCACTTTATATCGACATAAAAAAGGAGTTCAAAACCGCCTAGGTGTATTATTGCTGCAAATTTAAACCGAAGAAAGTATTGACGCGCTATCGCACCCAAGGGACTGTCTGACAATTCCACCGACTGGGTTAAAACGTCCAATGTATTTTAATTAAAATGTAAAATAACACCGTCAAATTCTAAAGCTTGTATTGCTTAGTGATTTTCTACAGGTGAGTAATATGCAATTATTTACAAATAAAGGTCCCTGGAAAGGGTTTTTCATGTTCCAACGGTTGTAGTACGTAGCTAGATACAAGACTGGCCTATTACAGGTTATAGTTTACCAATATCTCAATACCAATATCTCCCTTACAGTATGTACAGTACACAAATATCTTTTTTTTTTTTTTACTATTCACCAAAAGGGTTTTTTCCATGTTCTACAGGTTGTAGTACGTTGCTAGTTACACGACTGACTTCATGTCTTACTGTATGTACCATTCCCAATTATTTAAAACAAAAACTAAAAAATCTGTTTTTTATTTTATTTTTCATGTTCCAAAGGTTGTATTATAAAATATTGATGTACTTTATGTACAGCAAGGGAGGTATTACTAAAATTGTACCTATAGTAAGTCGGTCTAGTCACTAGGAATGTACTACAACTTTCGGAACATAAAAAAAACTGTGAATTACAGTAATTTCTTAATAATTATATACTGTATATACAGTAAGGAATATATTGGCAAAATTTAAACTGTAGCAAGTCAGTCTGGTCGCTAGTAACATACTAGTAACATACAATATTTGGAAGACGAAAAACCCCATTTTGGTGAATTGCTGTAATTTTTTTCTTAAAACGTGTGTAGTGTACATACTTAGGGAAAGTATTGTCTAAGGTGAGTTATTGGCAATATATTTAGTCCGTTTGACTAAATTATTAATTTACTGTAAACATTAATTTAAATAAATTATTGTACTTCGTTTTGTTTTGAGGTAAATTTGATCAACCTGGGGCACCTTTCACGATTTCAACCAAGGGGAATGTGTCTGTACTGAGGGGGGAACACCCCCTCGGACTGCGATTTCTAAGGAGGGGGAGAAGACTATGAAGACAATGGCCAAAACGCTGTAACCTCGTCCAGTCGTTTAGTTGCAGTGCTCTGATTGTTTGTTTGTCATTTATCAGTAGTGACGCAGACTTGACACTCATCTCGCAATCCCCATGACTGAAGCACTTCCTTTAATAGATTAGTGGATATACTCTCTAGCTTACATGTTGGTAAATATTTTGATGTCTGTTTCTTTGTGCTATTAAACTGGGCTAACTTTCATTTGCCTTTTTTCACCATAGACATCATGCCACTGAAAGAGGAGTGCATAGTACCGAATGAAACGGAAGAGAAAGGACAGTATGAGACTCATCATGATTTTAAAACAGAAGAATCTTCCGGTTGGCCACAGATTAAAGAGACTTTCTCACAAAAAGAACCGCTCGTAAAACAGGAACTACAAGTTATTTTACCCCTTTGCACTGTGAAAATAGTTTCAATGAACAAGGAAACCTTAAAAGTCCACATGAGAGTTCATCCTGGAGGGAAGACTTTTACCTGCCCTGAGTGTGGAAAGAGTTTCAGTCAGAAAGGAACTCTTAACAGGCACATGAGAATTCACACGAGAAAGAAGCCTTTTACCTGCCAACAGAGTGGAAAGAGTTTCAGTCAAAAAGGAACTCTTAACGTCCACATGAGAAATCACACGAGAAAGAAGCCTTTTACCTGCCCTGAGTGTGGAAAGAGTTTCAGTCAAAAAGGAAACCTTAAAGTCCACGTGAGAATTCACATGAGAAAGAAGCCTTTTACCTGCCCTGAGTGTGGAAAGCGTTTCAGTCAAAAAGGAACTCTTAAAGTCCACATGAGAATTCACACGGGAAAGAAGCCTTTTACCTGCCCTGAGTGTGGAAAGAGTTTCGGTCAAAAAGCAACTGTTAAAGTCCACATGAGAGTTCACACTGGAGGGAAGCCTTCTACCTGCCCTGAGTGTGGAAAGAGTTTCAGTCAAAAAGGAACTCTTAAAGTCCACATGAGAATTCACACGAGAAAGAAGCCTTTTACCTGCCCTAAGTGTGGAAAGAGTTTCAGTCAAAAAGGAACTCTTAAAGTCCACATGAGAGTTCACCCTGGAGGGAAGCCTTCTACCTGCCCTGAGTGTGGAAAGAGTTTCAGTCGAAAAGGAAACCTTAACAGGCACATGAAAATTCACACGAGAAAGAAGCCTTTTACCTGCCCTGAGTGTGGAAAGTGTTTCAGTCAAAAAGGAACTCTTAAAGTCCACATGAGAATTCACACGAGAAAGAAGCCTTTTACCTGCCCTAAGTGTGGAAAGTGTTTCAGTCAAAAAGGAACTCTTAAAGTCCACATGAAAATTCACACGAGAAAGACGCCTTTTACCTGCCCTGAGTGTGGAAAGAGTTTCAGTCAAAAAGGAACTCTTAAAGTCCACATGAGAGTTCACACGAGAAAGAAGCCTTTTACCTGCCCTGAGTGTGGAAAGAGTTTCAGTCAAAAAGGAACTCTTAAAATCCACATGAAAATTCACACTGGAGGGAAGCCTCCTACCTGCCTTAAGTGTGGAAAGAGTTTCGGTCAAAAAGGAACTCTTAAAGTCCACATGAGAATTCACATGAGAAAGAAGCCTTTTACCTGCCCTGAGTGTGGAAAGAGTTTCAGTCAAAAAGGAAGCCTTAAATACCACATGAGAATTCACACTGGAGAGAAGCCATACTCCTGTCTTCGGTGTGGAAAGAGTTTTACTCATAAAGGAAACTTTAATTACCACATGAAAGTTCACCCTGGAGGGAAGCTTTCTACCTGTCCTAAGTGTGGAAAGAGTTTCAGTCAAAAAGGAAACCTTAAACTCCACATGAGAATTCACACTGGAGAGAAGCCTTACTCCTGTCTTCAGTGTGGAAAGAGTTTTACTCGAAAAGGAACTCTTAAAGTCCACATGAGAGTTCACACTAGAGAGAGTCCTTGTTCTGCCAAGTGTGTGGAATGAGCTTCATTCATAAAGGATTACTTAATGAACACATGAGAATTCACGCTGGATAAAAGTGTTACGTGTGCCATCAGTGTGGAAAAGGTTTCAAACAAAATGGAACCCTTAAAGTGCACATGACAATTCACACTAGAGATAAATCTTTTACATGCCCTCAGTGTGGAAAGAGTTTCGATTTACATGGACGCCTTAAATCCCACATGAGAGTTCACACTGGAGAGAGTCCCTTCACCTGCCAACAGTGTGGAAAAATTTTACTCAAATATCAAACTGTAACAGTCACATGAGAAGAGTACATGGCATATTTTCAACACAAACTTGATCAACACACGAGGATTCGTTTGAGAGAACTGTTTTGTCATCAGTGTGGAAGGAGTTTCTCAGACAGGAATCCTGTAATAATGCTATGATGTGTAGGAAGCTCAGAAGTGAAGACCAGGGCCCGTTTTCTTAAAGATTCTAAGAATCCTTTCAGAGAGCTCCTAATTTATCTTAAAAATTTCTACATAGGAGTCTTAGCTTAAGAGCAATTCAGGACCAATCTGAGAGCAACTCTGAGCGAGGAAAAGACAAAAACTTTCATCTTAGTGAGGAGGCGGGGCTGACCCCATTGCTACGTCTGACACAGTCTTTTGAAGACTGTGATTGGCTGGTTTTTCAAAGGGAAAACGAGAGAGTGCTTTAGTGTTTATTATAAGTCTTCACTTTGAAATTACAAGAATTCTGTAACTGAACTCACATTTTCAGGACTCACAACTGCATTCTCAGAAAGCACGCGCTGTATGAACTGGACAACTAGTGCGAGAGAGACGCTCATGTGTGGTTTCACTTTGGGCACAGCGACGGAGAAATGAGCCGTGTGTCATCTGAAGGTTTTTAGATCCAGTCACTGTTCTCCACCGGAGTAGTTTCCGTCAGTTTTGTTCTGTGCGTCACAGTGCGTGTGACTCAAATGCAGTGTCATGAGCGAGACGCAGAAAAGGATGCGAGTGTATATACGGGCTTGACTGTCGTTGCACGTTCATACAGACAGTATTCAAGACGCTAATGTAAGCTGCTGTTTGAACGGGACATTTCGAGTCTGTAAGGAAATGCAGTTGTCAATCCCTAAAAAAACTGACCGTGTGAACGTGGCCATAAATTAATGTAGTGATTACTTTCTGGCGCTATGGCATTTTTAAACTGTGTCTGAGATGTTAGCGTGTCTCTAATAATATCGGTCACAAACATGATCACTACACGATCTAATGTGTAGTGTCTTATTAACTCACTGTCATGTATTGTGTGCAATGCATTTCTTCTCCCTCTTCACGTTTCGTTGATTTTCTCCACTGCTAAAAAAAACTCTTAAGCCTCTTAAAAGTCCTCGTCAGTACTCCTAACAATTTTGGACCTTAAGAGCTGTAGGGTATCAGACCGAATCAGACAATTTAAGATCCGATCAAGAACATGGTTGAAACACAAGGAGCCGAATTCCACAGAAAGGCCCAAGACACAGGATGTTCGTAAGTCAGATCCTGGCGCCACAAGCCTGAAGCAAGTCCACCAAGTAGCAGCTTTGAGCAGCTCACAGCATTAAAACAAAAGAACACTTATTGACAATTCAAAGGAGATTGTCAATTTTGGGGCAAATAACCAAGATTAATGGTTAAAGACACAGCATATCATGATTCATGACCACAACATGAGGAAAATCATTAGTAGAAACTGCTTTGGATTGGTTTCCTCCACCTAGAAGACAAGAACCAGACTGTGATTCCTTAGGAGACCTTTTAACCTCTCTGGTCTTCACAGAACATGTCCTTATGTTCACAGAATGGCACAGAAACTGTCTTTTACAGATGTAGATGCACCAAAATGAACTCAAAGACTTCTAAACGAATATCAGTCCATTGCTTAACTCCATATCATGTATGTAACCCACACATTTGACTGTCATGTTCTAATCACTTATTGTGTATGTCTTTTTAATAACTATTGAATAGCTTAAGGGTTCATATTCATGTTTAGTATGTGTGTGTTTGAATCTTATTGCTTGAAATGTTTCTTCCAATCAATTCTTTGTCAAATGTATCATTCTTGTTATAGAAATCATGTCCAAAATTATACTCTGCAAGAGCGGGAAAATTAGGACCATATGACTGATAAGATAACATGTTGATTGGGAGGAGAAACATACAACACCCCGAGCAAAGACAATATCTAATTGGTCAAGACACCATTTGGGAGGTGGCCAACAACCCGGTTTAAATGCTCAGGACACCGTCAAACTATGCTTTTAGTTATGCTTCAAGTCATCCCTTTTAGCCATGCGGCTTTTTAGCTTTTAGTTTCTTGCCTTTTTGCCACCGTGTTTTGACTCTGCTTTTTAGTGCTCTTTGAGCGTGCTCTGGTTTACACGCCAGCAGCTCCTCTAAAACCATGAGGAGAAAACCCATCTAGTCTAGTTACTTATATTCTTCTACTGTCATTTCTTTTCCGTTGAGAGTTTCGTGTCCTGAGTTAAGTTTTGCCGCAATGTGTCTCCAAGGTGACCGCCTCAACTTTAACCAGCCCACAACGCCGCATCTTCAGCCAATGCCCAACCATTGGCTTCCCAAGATGTCACTTCAACAACTACTGAACTTCCAGCCAATCAGCAATCTCGGGGAACCCCCTTTCTTCAAGGGAACCCCCCCTACACAGGCAACAAGTACCTCCAGATACTAGCTGAACTGGTGCATTTCATATAAATTTTAACCTCATTGAGGAACTCAATGCGAGGGTTAATGAAGTGATTGATGGTTGTTTAGGTCTATGCAATTGCACATATTGCTGTAAACTTGGGATTTCACATTTTCATTCTCTTAAACTCATTCTTTCCTCACTTTCTCTCTTTCTGCAACTTGTGTGAATGCATGTGTTAGAGTAGTTTATATGTCTTAGATTTATCCAATAAAGTCTTGTGTATTGAAAAGAGAAGTATCTTGTGTTTTGTGCTTACAAGTTAATGTCTTAAATGCCGATCTTGTTACTGTGCTAATAAATAGTGTTTTCACTATACTTTGGATATTAATGTCGATTGCAGAATTTGTTACACGGCTCGTTCAATGAATCGCTGGCCGACTCTGTAATCAGCCACAAAACAGTGATTCGGTCCAAATTCCCTATAAAATCATAAATGATTCCCTTTGAGCTAAATTGACCTGTTTCCCTTACAGAGCTCTTTTAAGAGTTAAGATGCTTTCTGAATTACTTATTTACTAGGAACTTTTCTTTAATTTTAAGAGGAAATGCCCACATTTCTAAGATTTTTCTTAGAATTGTGTTACTAGGAGCAATTCTTTGCACTAAGAATTTTCATGAATACGGGCCCAGATCCCGGTTGCATGAAAGCCCTTAAGCTAAGAAATCCTTAGTTATAAGGTTAAAACCTAAACTCTTCCCATGCACTTTTTCTCAGGCAAGTGTCTTCACGTAGAGGTTTTCAAGGGACAATGTGAATAAATCTAGATTTAAATGAACCTCATACTGTTCTAGTGTGCCGCCCGCGGTACACTGCATGCTTTGAGGGTTAACTTCGTGAAACACAAAAAAACAAAAAGGTAACCGTGTCATATATCTTTGAAAAGCTGAGATTCTTGTGAATTCGAATGATGTTATTTTGACCTTTTTTTTGACCATTTAATGACCCTTTTAAGATACAATCAACATAGCAGGTACAATCAGCGTCTTTGTCAGACCAACAGCAACCAAATAAACAATAACAAAACTGAAGGAACTGCAAAATGGGGTAGTTACACTGTAAAGGGTCCAGACTATCCAATTCAGTGAAATATTTAGTCCATAACACATTTATATGTTGATAAACATCCACGGAATGTAGTAGTATCATTTCAAATTAGCCGAAGGAGCGATCAAAGCTTCGGCACATTGGCGCTTTTCCACTGCGTGGTACGACTCGGCTCGGGTCGGCACGGTTTGCATTTCCACTGCAGTTTAGTATTGCTTTAGCGTGGGCGGGATTATTCACATGTCGTTAGTTGCTTCGCCTCTCCTGCCACGACTTCTGAATAACTTTTTCATTCCGTGTCGCCCCATCAAGCTCGTTCAAAACAGTTGCGTTCGATCCTTCGCTGACTGTGCTGAATTAAATCTAGTGGTTCTGTTGTGTTTGTGTCGTAAGTTAAGTGACGCAGGTAGTGACGATTCTCTCCGGCCAATCCGTGATCATCAGAGTTTACACATCACGTTTTAGTAACGGTACGGTTCACTTGGAACCTCAACAGAGGTGGTACTAAAAAAAGTACCAGGTACTGTACCCAGTGGAAAACCCCCCCAAAAGAGAACCGTACCGAGCCGAACCATGCAGTGGAAAAGCGCCATATGAGTTGTTTACAGGCAGCGATAGCCAACTAGCTTCCAGGATGAAGAACGGTGCAGCCTCTCTTTGATGGACAGTAGATCGATCCAATTGCATCAGAGTTTGCAAATGACTGTCGTTTCTGATAGCCAATGAACTTCTGAAAAGAATAATATGCGACTTTAGTGGGAGAGTTTAACTAACAGGTGAAAAATCTTTTGATTTGCCATGTTGCATTTAGCTAACAGCTTTTTTTAATCTCTGTATTTTAGCATTTGTTGATGCTGAAAATCAGTTATACTGGGATCCTGGTCTAAAAATAAATATTAAAAACGCAAAACACACCTGATGCGAATTCTTTGCTCTTCATTTTCTATAAGCAGAGTTAACAGACCCTGTTGTAATTTCTTGTCATTTATTAAAAGGTACAACGCCATCTTGTGTCGACTAAACTGACAATTGCAATTCTTTGATCTAGATTTGTCCCACAATGAGCAGAATGTTTTGATGAAGTTATCCCTTAGTCCAATGATGAGTAATTCACAATACAGTAGAAAAACAGAGAGACAGAAACAAAAAGAGTTCTTCTACAAAACAAACAAAATTAGCATATAACAACATCCCATAATTTCATCGCTACTTAAACAATTATTCAGAAACACAAACAGGCACAAATAAAGTGCCAGTGTTGGAAAAAATTAAAAAGTGCCAGAAACCCTTTATCTCTTGCTCTTACTCGTAATGTCCATAAAATGCAAATAACCTCAAATGAAAATTAAATAAAATTGTTCGGCTGAACTGAGTTGCACTTAAAGATGGAAGCATAAAACGTCCTAGTTTTGGGAGAAACCCCCCGCATACTTTGTCTGATTGAGAACTTCAATGGAAGATCAACAAAGCTCCATTTGTAGCAGTCCCACTTGGATAACGGTTTTGCCTCCTGTGAAATGTAATTAATTTAATTTTTTACCAGAAATGGATTCTGAATGTAAAGGAGAAACTGGTCTCCAGGGCTGAAGTGCACAAAACGATCTCTGAAGTTTCCGGTTAGTTTCTGTATGAACTCAGCCATCTAACATTGCAGTTGTAGTGGACAGCACATTCCAGGGCCCCTCTCTGACCACTATAGTGCTACATTTTGATTGGATGTTGGTGGACTAACAGAAGCAAACTGTCCTACACCATCAGATAAAGATCAACAGCCAGACACCTCTTAGAGGGCAAGAAGAAGACCTTTGTTACAAAGCCCGGGAAGGACAGGACTTCTCATTGGTCAAAATGCAGTTTCTGCCCTTCACCCACCAACAGACTGATTCTGGCCTGTGACCGCCATAAAAATTCCTGAGGACCTCTGGATGCAGCAGCAGTGGGTGAAACAAAGCGAGATCATGGAGTTCCATCCAAATCCATTCATAACTATGTTCTC